TTTCAATTATTATATTATATTAAAAATATTATCTTTTATAGTAATATTCAGAGAAAGATGAAGATGCACAAATTTTAAAAACCATTAGCATTTTCTTTTATAATTGATCATACATTCATATAAGATGTCATTCAAAATATGAGTCATTCTGATTTTAGTTATAAATTTTATATTCTTTGATATTCTCTGAATTTTTTTTTCTTAGGGTGGTTTCGTGTTGTTTTTTTAATAAATTATCAAATTTAATTATTTTCAAAATTCAATGTTAATGTAAATAAATTCTAAATTTTAGACAAAATTAAAAATATAACTAATTTAATGAACATGTATAATTATTGTATGTTTCTTTTTTATAAGATCATTGGCTACAAAAGAAAAAATTCACTAATGTATTCAAATAAATGATTTTTTTCTTCACAACAAATGTGTTTAAGATAATGATAAGATAAAATGGATAAGTTATTAGATTTTAAATTATAACTTTTACTCATGAATTTTTATCTAAAACGCTATACAAACTACTAACTAGTTAAAATAAATAGCCTAAAATAAAATAATAATACAAAAAAGTTGTGATTGAGCGTGACAAAGAATAAATGTTAGTTTTTTAAAATTAAATAGAAAATAAAGAAGTATGAAAAAAATATTAAAAATAAAAAAAATAATTTTGATGAAGGGTTGAAACTTTTGAATGCTAGTTAAAGTAATTAAGAAGATAAAAACTTAAACAATTTTTTACATATTTTTAGGACTATTTTTTTTTAATTTAAAGTTAACATTTACTTTGATAATCTACATAGACTTAATCTATATAAATTATTGAAATAAAATATTAATTTCAATTAAAAATATCTAGAAAAGTTTTACCTAAAGAATACCCTTCCAAAAAATATTAGTAATTTCTAATTTTTACTTATTTTACTAGATGAAATTGTTTTTATTATACAAAATTTTCAAAAATCAAAATAAAATCTTAACAAAGTTTTACTCGCGTTGAACAAATCAATCTTCTAAATAAGTAGTCTCTCTTTATGAGTGGATCTCTTTTAGCTTTTTCTAAATGGAATTGGAAATCATGATTGTTGACTTACCTAATACATTATTGGTGAAAGAACGTGCAACCAGAAATTTCACATCTTTAATTACATCAATTATTTAGACCTTTATTTCAAGTGAAATTGGAAATCGATTAATATATTATTTTAATCCCCTAAAATTATAAATATGTATTGATTTAGTTTTTAAAACTATAAAAAGAATTTTTAGTTTTTTAATTATTAAAAATTTGTTAATTTAGTCACTAAAATTATAAAAGTATTTTTTTTAGCTTTTAACATAATAAAATCAGTCAATTTAATTCTTAAAATTATAAATATTTATCAATTTAGTTATGAATTTAGTCATTTTAACTTCTAAAATTATAAATACCTATCAATTTTTTCCTTGAAGCTGTGAAAAAAAATCTCTTAAATTATAAAACAATAATCATTTTTACAACTAAATTATAAGAATCATTCAATTTCAAAGACTAAATTAATAATTATCTATAATATTAAGTACTATAATAATTTGTTTCATAATTTTAAGACTAAAATGACTAATTTTATAATTTTAGCAACTAAAATGATCAATTTTTAATAATTTAAAAAATAAAACTGACTGATTTATAATTTTAGCAGCTAAGATAACTGAATTAATAATTTCATAGGAACTAAAATGATTGGATTCTAATAATTTTTTTTATCAATTTTATAATTTTAAAAACCAAATTGACATGTATCTATATTTTGAAGTACTAAAAGGATGTATTACTCATTTGAAAATCTTTAATAATCATGTTAAAATGTATTATTTTTAGTCAATTTAATGTTAATTCATAATGCTATTAATACTATAATAATAATAATATTATTATTATTATTATTTTATTGAAAATGTAATGCATTGCTGGCATTGGCCAAGAATAATGAAGGAACAGGGTGTCAAAGAAAAAGAAATCACAGAATAGTTGATCGAGTTTCCCGTGGGTAATTGAATAAGAAAAAGAATACCCATGTCATGATGGTCAATGTCAGTGCCAACTAGGCTCTGTCGCTTTTGCCTTTTAACCCATTAACTCATGAATTTTAAAATTTTAAAATTACATGGTTTGTATCAAAATACAGTTTTTAATAATTATAATATTAGTATTGATAACATACTTACTTAAGATTTAATATATTTATTTATTTAGTATATAAATGGAGTGTGTCAATTATCACACTCCTATATTTATTACTATTTCTTTTTAAGTGAATTTTATTTTACATATTTTTTATAAATACATAATAAGATTATTTGGCATAAAAAATTAAATTAATGTAAGTGTAAAGTTGTTACATAACAATAGATGCAAATAAATAACCTAATCTATTTGGTTGGTCTAGTCATTTGCTTGGTGGAACACATTAGAAGGTGCTTGAGTTGGTTCTCAATTGGCGGTGCATTTTTCGACAAGTACCATTTCTCATGTTTTGATAACCAAACCTGCATCAATGCAAACGGGTATGTACACTTCAACTTTCAAGCTTAAACTTTCATTACTCAACACATTGGTGCCTAAGGTTTCCACAATGGTATCTGTAAATACTCATAAGATCCTAACCCATACCATATATAACAAAATTTGTTTTATTTTTCATTGTTTTATAATTGGAAAATTGTTTCTTAGTTTTGGAGAAGATCAGGATCTATAATAATTATTCAAGCATGGATGAAGCTATGTTTATGAGTCATTATGATTTTAATTATAATTTTATATTTTTACTATTATCTGATTTTTTATGTTGTTTTGTTAAATATATTATCAAATTTAATAATTTAAAATTTCTAATATCAATGTACTTAGAAATTTAAATGCACTCGTGTTTGGAATGCTGAAGAAGATTATTGGCATAAGAACAAGAGATATTGCCATGGCACACTTGCATATGAGAGTTGGGGACCATTATCTTGATCTGGTTAACATTATTTTAAAAATTTTATATTATAAAATTCATTTATCATTATTATATTAAAAAAATTATTTATAATAATAACTTATAAAAAAAAGTTAAAGTAACTCAATTTTACAGTGAAGATTAGTCAGAATAAGTGACCGGTATAATTAAAACAAAAATTTTATGTTTAAATTTTTATGTATGTAAAAAATTTTTAGTAATAGATTCACTTTTTAGATGCACGACTGGAATAAATTTAGATTTAACTAAATAAAAAAATAAACTTAATTTTTATAAAAATCATTAACATTTTCTCTTATGATAATCATTTGCACTTCTTACGCTCACTAACAGAATTCAATTTCATCTTCTAAATAAACAGTTTCGTTATGCGTAGATTTTTTTAGTCTGTTTTAAAATGTAAATAGAAATCATGATTGTTCCGTTACCAAATGCATTAATGGCGAGAGAAACGTGTGTTTAGATATGAATGTGTTTAGATATTTTATTTTGTGCGTAAAAAATAATTTTTAATTTTTATGAAGAAAGATGTATTTTTTATTTATAATATTTTATTGAATTTTTTTAAATTAGAATAAAATATTAAAAAATATTTGAAAAGTTACATAATTAAAAAATATTGTTTTATTTTTAGTCTTATTGTTAAAATAAATTTTTTATTATATTTTTATATAAATTACTTTTTTTTAATTTTTCATTCATTCAAATAAATAAAGTAATTATTTTATTTTTATCTATTAATATAATAACTTTTTTATTTTATTTCTCATTTTATTTGTTAATTTTATATATATATATATATATATATATTATTTGTTAACTACTATTTATTTTTTTTTCACTGAACCAGTTCTAATAAAATTTTAATCATCTATTGTATTAAAATTTTTATATTTATTATTTTTAAATTAACAATTTAATGGTATGAATATCTTTCCGGTTATATAATTTCACTGTTTTTATTATTTACGGATCCCAATTTTCTTTGGTGCAGAAATTTACTGCATTCACTATATTAAAATATTTACATTTATTACTTTTAAATAAATAATATAATAGCCTCACAATTCGAAAATTTTCTATTTACCAAAATTTTAAGAAATAGAAGTACTATTTCTTCTTAATCCTGAAATAGTTAATTAAATTTTTTTTATTAAAAAAGTACATCGATATTGCCAACAATAATGGAGGATCAAGTTTCACATGCCCAATTGAATAAAAGGGCCAATGCCAACAGTGTATTGTCCTTTTGCCATTTAACACTTTAACCAATCAAATTTAAAAAACAAATCAAAATTACATTAATTGTATACCAATCCTTGCCCTACAATTCTATCATTTTTCTCTTGTCTCCGCTATCGTTATTAAATTTTATTAATTTAACTGTTAAATTAATTATTATGATGAGTGGTTTAAAATTATATAATTTTATATAATTTGATAAATATTTAATTTTTCAATCAATTTATTTTAATAAATACTATATTTTTTTAAAATTATTTAAATTTATGTACATAAACTTTAAAACAATATTACATAATTAAATAAACACAATTTAATATTTATAATAAATTATTGAATAAAAAAATTATTAAACCTTACTTTTAGAATAAATAAATTACAATACACGTATACGTATAATTTACATGCATACAAAAAAGCTGACACGTGAATGCGATTGCACTATGTTAGATATTATTTTCAGTTGTTTTATAATCATTTATATTTTTTTAATTTAAAAAAGTAAAAACATATTTTGAGACTCATCAATTATTAACTTTTGAAAATAGTATAAATGATATATTCATTTATTTAATATGTAAATTATTAGTGAAAATTTAAAGTAACAGAACGGTAAAGTGAAATTTTATCAATGATACATGATTTTTTTAATTAATATGGATGAATTATATACCTGTCTTTTGTAAAAAAAATGCAGAGGGAGTAATAGATACAAATTAGTAACAGAGTATCTGTTTTGTGTGTTGTGTGAATTGCTTGCTGGAACTCAGTAAAGTCACAAGGGTAGTTGGGTTGGTTCTTCATTAGTGGTGCCTATTTCAGGAGAACAGAGCATCAATCAGCTATTGTTATTGCTATTCATAACCAACCTTGCATCAACTCAAACAGGTAAAATACACTTCAATTTCCAACCTTAATCTTTATTCCATAAAAGTATCTCTAAATACTCACTAGATCCTAAGATTCCCAACCTATATCATATAACAAAATTCATTGTTTTACAATTAGATATTTTTTTCTTTAATTTTGCAGATCAGTGTGCAACATCATTAATCAAGCATGGATGCTATTGCTAGCATGGCATCAAGTGTGGTTTTACCTATGTTACGACAATTCACTTATGTGTTGATGTACAACAGTTACCTCGTAGACCTTGAAAATCAAGTTCAGAAGCTGCAGCGTCAAGCGAAGGAAGTGAGGCACAATGTTGAAGCTGCTAAGAGGAATGGAGAAGAGATTGAAGACACTGTGCATGATTGGTTTAATAGAGTGCATAAATCTGTGGAAGAGGCCAAAACATTCCTTAGTGCTGAAGAGAAAGAAAGAGTTGGGTGCATGGATGTTTACTCAAAGTACATGAACAGCCAGAAAGCATTGAACTTGGTGCAGATTTTAATTGAAATAAGGAAAGAAACATTTGATAGGGTTTCTTACCGTTGTGCTTTGAAATGCAACGTGAGTTCAGCTGCTAGAGAGTATGTGGAATTGGAATCTAGAACAGTGACGATGAAGGAAATAATGGAGGAGTTGAAGGATGGTGGGGTTCATATTGTTGGGGTGTATGGGATGGCTGGTGTGGGAAAGAGTGCATTGGTGAAGGAATTAGCGTGGCAAGCTGAAAAGGATGGTGTATTTGATGTGGTGGTGGTGGCTACTGTGAGTAATTCTCCTGATGTGAGGAGGATTAGAGCTGAAATTGCTGATGGGTTGGGTTTGAAGTTTGATGAGTTGACTGAGTTGGGAAGAGCGAGTCGGTTGCGCCAGAGGATTAGACAGGAGGAGAAGATTCTTGTGGTATTGGATGATGTTTGGGGGAAGCTTGATTTGGCTGAAGTTGGTGTTCCTTTTGGTGAGGATCATGAAGGGTGCAAATTGTTGGTCACATCTAGGAATCTTACTGTGTTGGATAATGACTTGGATGCACAGAAGGTTTATAGGCTTGAAATTTTGTCTGAGGATGAGAGTTGGAGATTGTTTGGAGAGAGGGGAGGGGATGCAGTTAAAAATGATAGCATTCAACCTGTGGCAATGAAAGTGGCAAAGAGTTGTGGTGGTTTGCCACTTTTGATTGTTACTGTTGTGGAGGCATTGAAGAACAGGGATTTATATGCTTGGAAGGAAGCACTAGAGGAGATAAAAAGATTTGAGCTTGATGGGTGTTTTTATTCTATAGTGCGTTCTGCTATTGAGGCAAGTTACAATTCTTTAGACAGTCATGAACTCAAAACATTTTTCCTGCTTTTAGGTTCAATGGGAAGTGGTTGTAGCACCCAGGATTTGTTGGTATATGGTTGGAGTTTGGGTTTGCATAAACATGGTGATACATTTACAGATGGGAGAAACAGGCTTTACAAATTGATAGACAACCTGAGAGCTTCCTGTTTGTTACTTGAAGGGCCAAGAGATTCGGTTGAAGTGCTTGATGTTGTTCGAAATGTGGCTGCTTCCATTGCATCTGAGGTCAAACCTTTCTTTACTGTGCATAGAAACACAACATTGAATGAATGGCCTAGAATGGATTATTTGAATACTTGTCATCATATTTTCTTGGACTGGTGTTTTATCCACGAACTTCCTGAGGTGTTAGAATGTCCCAAGTTGAAGATACTCCAAATCAGCAGTGAAGGTAACTGTTTAAAAGTTCCTGATAATTTCTTTGCTCACATGAAAGAACTGAAGGTGTTGAGTTTAGGAGGTTTAAATTGTACTCCATCCCTTCCTTCATCTCTTGGTCTCTTGACAAACCTTCACGCATTAAATCTGTGTAAATGTATGTTGGAAGACATAGCTATTGTTGGAGAAATCACAAGGTTAGAAATTCTCAAGCTTGAAAAATCTGAGCTTAGAGAGCTCTCCTCAGAAATAGGAGATTTGGGTAATCTACGGTTGCTAGATTTGACTGATTGCTCAACACTAGAAGTGATTCCTTGCAACTTGATTGCAAGATTAACAAGCTTGGAAGAGCTAATCATGGGGAACTGCAATATACAATGGGAAGCGCAAGGAAGAGAAAACCACAGCAATAATTCAAGTCTAGATGAATTAAGGCATTTGCATAAACTAACATCTTTGAATATGCAGATAGAAGATACTGCAGTTTTTCCTAGAGACTTGTTCGCCTTTGGGGGACTAGAAAGCTACAAGATTTTGATTGGAAATGAATGGAAATGGTCTGGGAGTAACAAAACTTCAAGAGTTCTTAAGCTCAATTTGGGCATGGACCCAAGCATTCTAATGGATTATGGGATAAAGATGTTGATGGCAAAGGCTGAAGATTTGTATTTAGCTAAACTGAAGGGTGTCAGGGAAGTGCTTTATGAATTGAGTGATGACGGGTTTTCACGATTGAAGCATCTTAATATCCAAAGTTGTGATGAAATGCAAAGCATTATTGGGTCAATAAAGTGGGCTCATCTTGATCATGCCTTCCCAAACCTTGAATCTTTGATACTTCACAATATGATTAACATGGAGGGAATATGCAGTGGCCCACTTCCATCACAGGCCTTTACCAAACTACAAGTTATCAAAGTAAATGGTTGTGATAGGATGGAGTTTCTTTTCTTGCATTCCATGCTCAAACACCTTTCTGAACTTGTTGAAATTGAGATTTCTGAATGCAAATTTATGACCAATATCATATCCCAACAAACACAAGAAGATGATGAGCAAATAGACAGGATCATGCTACCCAACTTGCGTTCCCTCACACTACAGTACTTACCTTCCCTTGTTACCAGTGAACTTTTTGATGAGAAGGTATGAACTCCAGTGAACACCTTGTTTCTAGTAGTTTCTGCACTGAAAAATTTATTTTCTATATTCCTTGTTGGTAGGCAAAAGGATATTGGATACTATCAATGTTGAAGAAAGAAACAGAAAAAATATTTTTAAAAGAAACACTATTTTTCAGTTAACAAAAATAATTTTTTTCCTTTATTTACCATATCTACTAGAGCACTAAACGTTTGCTTTTAATGGCTATGTTTTATTATAGCTAGATAAAAAAGTAATGAAAGGCCTTTTGTTGGTGATAATCAAACTAGAATAATGTTTACAGGTTGAATTTCCAAAATTGGAGAACTTGAAGCTCTACTCAATCAATATCCAAAAGATATGGAATGACCAATTTTCTTTGTGTCAAAATTTGACCACTTTGACGGTAGATGGATGTGAAAAGTTGACATATCTTTTCTCATACTCTGTGGCTGCAAGACTCGTCAAGCTTCAACAGCTTTTAGTTAGCTCATGCAAATTCTTAGAGAAGCTATTTGTTCCAGATGCACACTTCAGTCTCCGACATCTTGTTAGAAAATCTGTTTCTACTGAACCGGTGAGCATTTCAAATTGCTTGGAGTTTTTTTTTTGTTAGTTGTTACACTTACACTTACTGTTAGTATTCTATTATGAAGTCTGAAGTAGGGTTATGAACCATGTGAAATATAGGTTCCACTTTTCCCCAACTTGGAGACATTTGTGATTTCTCACATGGACAACTTGAAGTCAATATGGCCAAGTCATCTCCCTGAAAATTCGTTTGGAAAATTGAAAAAGATGGAAATCGCATCTTGTAACAGTATCTTGAATGTGTTCCCATGTCATGTGCTAGACAAATTACAAAGCCTGGAATCACTGAACTTATGGGACTGTATTGCACTTGAAGCTGTATATGAAATAGATGATATGAATACAAGCGATCAAAGTCAAGGAGGGATAGACATTCCACTGAGAACTTTGTCTTTGGATAATTTACCAAAGCTAAAGCAATTGTGGAATAAGGATCCTCAAGGAAATATGAGGTTTCAAAAACTGTTTATGGTAAAAGCTACTAAATGTGAAAGTCTAAAGCATATCTTTCCATTGTCTGTGGCCAAAGACCTTGTGCAACTCCAATTCCTTGAGATAGGTGATTGTGGGGTAGAGGAAATTATTGTAAATGGCCAAGAAGGGATGGAGTTTGCTCTTGGGCTTGTTTTTCCAAAATTAATATCCATAAAATTTTTTAATTTGCCAAAACTTCGATGCTTTTGTACTGGAAATTACAACTTCAGATTTCCATTCCTGAATAAAATATATGTAGTTGAATGTCCTGCAATGGAGACTTTCTCTGAGGGAATCTTAAGGGCATCAATCCTCAGAAAAATATATTTGACTCAGGAAGGAGATCAATGGTCCTGGGAAGATGACCTTAATACTACTATAAGAAAGCTATTTAATAGAGGTATGTATGTACTAATCTGAATTAAAGATCTTATTTTGCAATTTCCATATTTGTGGTTTTAATTTGTTGCACCATAAAATCCTAAACATGCAATATCATGTTTTTGTTGAATATACAGATTCTTGGGGAAGATTAAGCATTTCATAGAAATTCAAAGGCAGAAGTAGCAAATTCTTTGGTTGCTCCTGCTATTTAATGATGTGAGAAGTCTTTGATTCTTCTGGAAATCTTTAGATGACTTCAACGAAGATAAACTGGTTATTGACTCTCTTTGATTTGTGATGTGGAACATTAATCTGCTCTTTATATTCATTGTTTGAGATGGAAGTGAAAGTGAATTCTGATGTTGATAAGTTTTCCAGCCTGCATGATGAACTATAAAGATTTTGTTTTGTAGGAGTAATTTGGTTTTGTGCGTGTTCCAAAATTAAATATTTATGAAATTGAATGTCATATTGTTATGATCTTGATCAGAAGTCCACATTGTTGTAGCCTTTGTTTGATGTACTCTTTCAAGGTTTTTTCCAATATGCACCCTTAGCAAAATAGTTCATCGATGCACTAAGTAGTTATAATATAGATTTTGTGTAATTAGATCGATGGATGAGATGAAAGAGAACTTATGCAGCTGGCAAAAGGAATAAGATTGGTTAGCATTAGACAAGATTGATTAAATTAAAAAAAAATAATAAAATTATAGAGTAAATCTTCACCTTAGTTGAATTAATAAAATTGTTGTTTCAAGAGAATTTTTTATGACCACTAGCAACAAATAAGACACGTTTATTTTATGAACATTTTAAATGTTAGTTTTTTAAAATATCAAGAAATTTGTGTATAGAATGTTTGGATACCTGATTATACGATATATTATATTATATCGAAATAAATACTAAAATAAATATATATTTGATTACATTTTGATAAATAATTAATTTTATAATTATATGATACGAATAAAATATAAAGTATTGGTAGTTAAAATAAATTTAAGATATGTAGTATATTGTTTTCTTTTGTCATTAAAAAAGAAAAGAAAACTGCTCAATAGATCAAACCCAGACCCCTTTTTTTGTCAAGACTTCAAGACATACGTAATTCTCAACCCTCCTAGTGCATGGACTCAGTACAGATTTTTGGTTAACGGACTTTATGGATTTGGGCTATCAAAAATTTGGACTAACTGATAAATAGGCCCAATTGTAGAGCTATTAAGGTTTACCCATGGTTTTTGACCCTATTTGTCACCTCTAATCCCAGCTCCCTCACCCAAAGTCTCTCTTGTACTTTTCCAAGGGTCTAATTAATAAAAAACTTGCTTTCTTAGTTCCATGATAAAGATTGAAACTATGTGAGTTTACATGCATAATTAATTAAATATTTTTTAATAAATTATTTTAAAATCAGGAAAATTTATCTATAAAATTTATTAAACTAAGCTAAAAATAATTTATTTTAACAAGTTATAGTAAAAAAAAGTATTAAAATAATTTAAAATTTTATGAGAATCATAAATTATTTTCATAAGTTATTCCAAATGGTCCTTATTTGTAAAGGTTTTATTTTCAAGTTTGATTATAAAGATGTGATTACACAAACAAAACTTTATATTTTGGCATTATATAAGATGGAAAGGATTATGCATATTTCTTGAAGACATGATTATTAATTTATTTGAGTGACTTGATCTTTCTTATAAATAATCATCCAACAATTTTCAATAAGTGAAAATATACGCATGATTGAATTAGAATCTTCCCCTCTTCTATCTCACATTTAATGGGAATTATGCAATTATTTATAATAGTTGTGATCATATGTCTCAAGACTCATTTGTAAATAAAGTGGAGAGAGAACCTACTCTTTCGCGAAGAATCATTATCGTCCCATTCATCATAAATTTAATATAATTATAGGCTATTCTATAGTCAAAACTTTGGATATAATATTCAATATCCACCGATTACTAGATAGATATAAAAAAAGATACTATCGAACTAATAATTTTATTTAAATAAACAGAAGATCAATTATTATAAATAAATAAATTTCTAATAGTTGTTCATTCTCTACTTCCTTGGTTAAATGTTGCTTTTTTTTTTACTACATAATACCCTTCGTATTTTATTTCAATCTCAGTTTTATTATATCTCTTGTTTCTGTGTTTTATCATATTTCTTATGCCTTCTTTCTATTCTTACAATTATTATGCATAATATTCTAGCAAATTTGGAGAATTATATTTATAATAATATAGGAATTAAATATTGGAAATTTTATCATGAATTAATACTAACAAATTTTCAATATACTGTATGGGTATTTTTAATTTAAATAAAATTTATAAAAATGAAATGAAAATATAAATACATACTTTTGAGAAGAAATTATTAAAATAACTTATTTTAACGAAGACATGTCATTTTTATTGATATGATATGTCAAAATTTAAAATTTAAAAATTTAATTTAATTTAAGATTGATTAAGATTATCAAAATAAATATTTAATTTGATATATTATATCAATATTTAAAGTTTAGCTAAAAAATTAAGCTAAATTTAAGGAATATTATTTGAATGAACAAATAAAAAAATTAAATACTCAAAGTAAGAGAACTCACGAAATTTAATTAGAAAGTGAATAAATTTAAAAATAGTTTGTTAAATATTGAAGCTGAAATTTAAAATATAAGAATGAATTATAAGTTTTAAAGTGAAGTCAAATTTTGGTATAAAAATTGGTTCCCGTGGTGATGACAATCTAATAATTGGAGAAGAATTATATTGCAATTATTTAACAATTATATTGAAATTGTTTAACTCTTAAACCTCCAACACATGATCCTTTTGAAGTGGTCCAAGATGGACCATTTACTTGTCACCTTGCGTACACTAAAATCTTCATTAATTGCACAAACTCGGGATGCACACTCATTTTGTTTGATTCAGTTGGAACAGGAAAGAGTAACGAGTAATGGATTTTGGTCACTTTCATCAATAAGTATTGAATAAGAAAAATGTAATTCTTCAATTAATATAAAAAATTATATCATTTATTAAATTTAATTTTCAGTTATCTGATTAAATAAATTTTATTTTTCTATTTTTTATTCATAAATTTCTCTCTTTTTTAGGATACATTTCTTTTCTTTTAAATTTTATCTTTCGTGTAAACATAGCATGAAAGTACGTTTTGCCAAAATTCCGTGTACGTCCAAATGACACCTGAAAATCAAAGTATAGAAGTCAATGCCTTTAGAGTAATTATTGTACCCGAAAACAAAGAAAAGATAGATACTGAATTATTGACCATATAATAATATGTGGACGTACGTGGGCTACTTGGGATTCTCTTTATCATCAACTAAAACTTATTAAAATAAAAATCTAGTAACTTCAAATTTTTAATCTATGATTTGTAAAAAGAAAATACCAATAACAATAATCAAGGTATATTTATTTTAATTAAAATAAAAAGAAAACATATTTTAAAAAATAATTTTTTCTTTTGTTTTTATGTAATTTTAATTTTTTGCTATTTTTATTCTATATAAAAAAAGATTAGAAAAAGTTTAGTTTATATTTAAAAACTAATTTTCAATATTGTAAATAAAAATGTACCTTATAATAATATTTTATTGTTAAAATTATTATGACATATAATGAAAATTTACCTAAGTATAGCTTTTTTATTATGGTTTTTTTTATGAAATTATTAAAATATGATATTTTTAACAAATTTATGTAAATATTATTTTTCTTAAAAAATGCCAATAACGATTTTACATGTTAGTTAATTAGTTATATGTAAAAATAGCACTCCTAAATTGCAGTTTATTTTAATTATGACATTGTAACAAATATAAGTAAAAGTATGACATTTACAAGCGAGAAGTCAACATGTTTGTATATTTCTTATAATATATTGTTTGAAGATTTGAAGTATTGAGTTTGTCAATATGTTCCTGAAGTTTTGTTTCAAAAAATAGTTGAAAACATTATATATTGATGTCCAGTTTCTATATTTAGAGTTTTATGTAATATCATATAATTTCAATAACGACGATGATGTTCAATAACTATTTCAGGTACACTAGTAATTAAGGATAGAAACAAATCAAACAGCTTGACAGGGGTCTAGCCTAGTTTTTTTAGTAAACAAACAAAGCTTAGGTTTTTTTTTTAAGGCTTGAACTGTTTACAAAGTTTGTTAAGTTTAATAGGTCAATCTATTTATATATATATATATATATATATATATATATATAATTCAAAATTCAAATATTAGTACTCAAAGGCCTGTTTACGGCCTATTTATTATGTATTTGCTGGCCTAAGCCTGATGACCTATTAAGAGATTTTTTTATAGCATACTTTATTAATAGCCTTTAGGCCAAGCAAAAAATAAGGCATTTTATAGGTAACAAGCAAGGCTTACAAGCCTGCCTTGACATGTTTCCATGCTTATCAATAACGTCATTCTTCAAGTGGAACCATTGAGTTGTATGTTTTAAAAACTAACGAGATTCAATAACAATTTATGAGCATCATGCTAGACACATGTAAAATAGAATGGGAACATAATAGCAGTAAAAGTGATGACAACGAAGTTAATTAATTTTATTAATTATCTTAATTCATTTAAGAAATAAATTATAATTATGAAAAATTATTTTCTGCAGGAAAATTAATTAAAAATTGCTTGTATCATAATTAAACATGCTTGTAAAAATACTTTATTTTATGTAATAATATTATGATTCTCGCATATTTTATTTGTCGTAATTTTCTAGCATATAATGTAGCTTGTGCGTATTAATATAAAATAAAAAGATGTAATGATAAAAATTTGACTTAAATGTGGATTTATAAAGAAATAAAAAAAAAATTACAAAGATAAGAAATACTTTTGTTACTATAGTTGGATATTCAAGAAAGTATTTTGGTATAATAGAATTGAAAATAAAAGAACAAAATTTATTAATAATAATCATAAATTAATAGTTTATAACTAAATTATTTTGGAAACTTATAAAAAACGAGACAACATGTAACATTATAAAAGTAGTACATAATTTTATGATTTTTTTTTTATAAAAATAGAATCACAATTGGTAAATAATTTTTTTTTGACAAAATTACTTAGATATATTCTTATATTTTTTTTATAATTTTAAATTTAAAAATAAATAATTTCAAAAACCACTCATTTGTAACAGTTAAAAGTGCTTTAAAAGCTGAAAAATAACATTTTTAATCTACAAAAATTGTTAAAAATTAGAAAAAATTATTTTTCTATAAAATAATATTTGAATCATAAAAATAATATTTTTGATAGTATTTTCTTTATTTTAAATTTTTGTGAATTTATATCTTTAATTGTTAACGTAAACTGAAAATTTTTGTTCAACTTCCTTGCACAAAATTAAGAAATCTTTTTGTAAAAAATTAAATTAAATCCAAATCTACCTAATTTTATAATTTATTTGAATTATGGAACTATCTACATATTATTTAAAAAAATTACATAAAATAAAC